GATTAAACATCCAAATGAGTCTAATCACCCACAAAATCATGGGGAAAGAGCCTGTTGCTTTCAGAGGATGAGACACCTGATCCCAATGTACTTCAGTCTCAGGTAAGATGAGTTATCATTTGAGCTAGTTTCTCTTGGTTGCCTGTGACAGGAAATGGGCAACCAGTCTGGAGTTTGTCATCTGAGTTTGAGATGCATAAATTGTCACAGAAAAACCCTCCAAATTTCTTTTCTTTGACCAAACATACAGAGACTTCTGTTAAAATAACTAAATGCTTTTTTAAAAAAAATTAAAAGCATAATTCATAGTTAACAGTATTTCTAAATGTTTCTTGTATGGGGAACAGCAGCTGTATTCACACATTAATACCAGTAAATACTGGCTTAATGTGGCTTTTGCTATTTGAAAAAACAGTAAGAGATATGTAGAATTACTGTTTTCTTAACATACCAAAATAGAGAATTCTTGCTAATAAAATGTATTTTTACCATCTCAAACTTCAGATTATACCCTCAGCTTGCAAATCAGAAAAAGAAAAGCTTTCTTGTGATGGTTTGAATTTTTATACAGTCATCACAGATCCACAACTTCAGTTCAGATGCAGTTATTAAATCGTTCAACCTATTCTCCTATGTAGAAAAACATTCAGAAGCTTGTTCTCCTTTATGTAGCTTGCTGCTATGGCTAACCACTCTCTTGTGAGCCTAACTTCTCATTTAAGATTACAGAGCTTTTACAGCAGCATTAGTTCTTAGTTTTTTTCCACTACTAGATTAGAGTCATTTAGTACTTTTTATTCTATCCCTGTGCAAGCAATTATAAGCCACAATCAAGCTTTTCAAGTCGCTCACAGTAAGATTTCTTCTGTCCTTTGAATTATTTTTCTGAAGAGCATTTACCAAGTAATTTAAATTATGTACACATGCATGTAAATACTACTCAGGAGTACATGGTGACCTTTCAATGAGGTACCGATAGTAGCATTACAAACATTATCTGCTTATAACTTTGAAGGCTACCACCAAATGTTAATGAGGTTACTACTGCTGTATGAGGGATGCCAATGCCAGACTAGTTAGTACAGATAGCACAGTTATCAGAGATCCTGCATAGGACCAACGTTTTCCTCTTACAGGAGACCTCTCTGACCTAGGACAGATCACTTCAACTTCTTAACATCAGATATATCTAATTCAAGAGTAAGCCGCATGGAATCATGTAGGGAATACTGTGTGCAAAAAATACACTGTTTTGAAGATTAGCAGCCATCACATGGCCTCCCAGTCTGGCTCAGGAAAGCTGTGCACTGGAGCATAGAGGCTTTCTTCTTCCATTCCAGAGTTGGAAATACAAATGGCTTTTAGTATTTAGATTGCTTTTTTCACTACCTGCTTTTCCACATCCAGAGTTTACCATTAATTAATATGCTTATTCTAACTTCCATTTTCTCCTGTCTGTAACAAATATAATAAAAAAGTAAATGCAATTGATGATCACCACCACAAAATGTATCAAGAAACTCTTCTGGAATTCCTTACACGTTACAGTTCTTTCAAGAGGAAGAACTGCCAGAGGATCCTCTCTGCTTTCTCAACTTCTACTGAAGTATAACAATCTTATAGGGTCTCAACTGCTGATAGAACAATGATAGAATAAGTGAATCATGAAGAAGTACATATTTGTTAATATGCTGCATAACTGAGAGTGTCAGCCCTGGTATATTTTAAATGTCTAATGAAAGCTTCTGTTCAAACCATCATAAGTTAAGAAGCTTAAGTTCAGTAAAGAAGGAAATTATAAACTGAACATGGTTAATTTTTGCATTTGGAAAATGCCAGTCAATAAATCCAGACAACCTCCACAATACACGTAGACAGAATTCACCATAGTTAACGTATACTTGGTCCTCTCATCGGCTTTCAAGCCTGTGATCAACTATGCTGAAGGGTCTAATGAGTTTTTTAAACACTAAATATTCGTATTGCAATATAAACATTGCAAAATCATATAGTAGAAGCCCAAAGTCCATGAAAAATACATTTAGCAGAGCAATTCTGTAGCAGTCTCTTGACACTGGAGGCGAAAGACTGCATGTATGGATTTACGAGCCGGTAACTGAATTACCAGAATTAATTTCAGAACACATGCTTCTTTCAGATACTTCCTCAATGACAGCAGTGACTTCTGTGCACATGGAGTCTGCATCATTTTTCTCATTGAGAGGTACACAGGAAATAGCCACTTATGAAGAAGTAAAAAGGAAACTACTCAGAAACGAGACAGTATCAAATGAAGATGCTTGGTGGGGGAAAAGGGGTCAGATCTTTCACAGGCAGATCAACAGCATTAGCACAAGTTACCACTTTAATCCTTTGCCATAGGAAGCCATGAACAACTGAGTTGGTTTGCCTGAGTCAACATTTGGAGCAGTTCAGAATGTTTTCTGTTGGAAGGGAAAACCACTCTAAGGTCAGTAAAACAACTTTCTCTTTAACTCCACAAAGGGAGGGGACAGCATTTCACTTCAGATGAAATCCTTCTCTCTTGATTTTATGTTATATAAAGATAAGGTCACTTAAGCTATGTTACACCAAATTCTTCCAGGCATGATGAACTGTGGATAACTTCAGTTTTGAAAAAGCAGAACCTGACTCCATGGACTGATTCACATGGGATTTCTCTCAAGGCGGTAAGAGCAGAACCACTTTTAGTCAGGAACAGCACAATAGCTTTCTATCTTGAAATAGCATGAGTTATTTTGATATCTGGATATAAACATTTCTGAGAAATTTTATCCCATACCCTAATTAAATCTGAATTATTTTTATTTCATAAATCACAAGTATGATGAAAGCTGGAAATTTCCAGAAAGTCTCTTCCCTCATTTGCTATTCTTAGTAATGTCACCATTTCATACTCTCTTAATACTTTCCAATAAGGAGACTAAAAAAGAACTATACAGCAAAGCAGCTTTATTTCTGCCCTTGGCTAAAGTTTCTGAACATTTTAAAGATGCAAGCCAACAGAGACGCACTCTCAGCTTGCAGTCGTAGAGACAGCCTGCCTGAAGACAAGCACCAATGCACTGCAAACTCATTCAAGGCTGCACAAACATTTATCATCTTAGCAATACGTGCTTTAACACTAACTACCTTCAATAATTTCCTTTACCATAGGGGCTTTTTTTCCCCACTAAGTAAAATACAGCTGTCTTGGAAAAAAAAATTGCTGAGCTAGTGAAAAGTAATTCTCAGTGCCTTCAACCAATTAATCTTCTTCATAAACCTGAAGTCAAAGATGCTCTTTATTTTTATTGTACATTTGCTCAGCTCTGACAGCAGTAAGGTTGTTGGACATCAGTTACTTGGCAATTTTACCACCCAAGGTACCATTTATCAGCATATTAAATACACTTTTAACTTTTGTAACTATTTATTTTCATCTGTAAAGTTTCCATTCTCTTACTCAGAAGGATGAGGAGTTCCAACTTGAAAAGCACACTCAGCAATGTTTTTTAGGAAGATGGGTAACCAAGGTTTGATCCAACTCATCCAGTTACAGATTGTTTCCAAAATGTATGTACCTAAATGTGGTAAGACCAGTATCATTAGACACTGAAATACACCACTGGAAAGACCAAGATGCAGACTGAAGCTGGAGGCTTATGTCCTTGCTCCAAACCTTTAGGTAATGCAATGTTATGACCTCATTACAAAGAACCGTAGGGGCTGCTGTATCACAGTAAAGGTGGGATTCATCAATGACTGCATAGGTAGGATACACCCTTCCTTCCAACACCCATATAGGGTCTTGAGGTGAATGACAAAACACTCCTCTCTTGCAACATGACCAAGATTTCACTCAAAAGAGATCACAAAAACCTCCTGATTGCACTTACTAAGATTAAAACCCAACAGTAATGAAGATCAAGACTCACAGCACAAGTTTTTAGTGGAATCAAGCAAATTGCTTTTAATTCAGGATAGCCTGCAGTCAGCCAACTTTCATTTGACCCTATCAGTTTCCATGTTAGGTTACTCAGTAATTACACATATTTGTACGCACTGTACATCTGTACATTTTGTATACATATCAAAATTACTGGCAATGCTAGATAGGTTTGATAGTGCAATATTTTAAAATAAGTCATACTGGCAAAACATTTCAGTACCAGTGTTAGGAAACTCACTCTGGAATGAATACCTTACTCATTAAATAGTTCATATTATACCTCAAATGAGATTGTACCAGTAATCCTACTGTCCAGTCCAAACTGCAGCAAGTGAAATTACATTCTGCTTATCAAAGCTCCAGCTCCCCACCCTCCTCCAAGATCTACAGATAATTTTTATCCTTGGCAGCACTTAAAATGTTAGGTGCTGTTCCACACTGTAGGCTCCTGTCTGTCAGTGTGAAGAGAAGCCATTACAATCCATCTCTGGAGCTTACTCAAATGTTTTTGGAGTTTGCTTTTAAAGTATGTTATTTATTTACTATTTACTTATTGCTTGCTGTGGAAAACACTGCAAAAAATGCAGTTGTAATATAGTGAGAGATGATGGCAGGGAAATTCTTTCCCAACTTTGAGAGTAACTGGTAAAATGAACTTAAACATTCAAACGTTGGAAATAGACTTTTTTTCACTATAATCAGAGTAATCAGAGGTGTTCCCTTCCCCCACTCCCTCCCCCCCCATTTATTACTCAAGACATTTGCATCAGTGTAAATGTTAACATGAAATCTTAATATTCCCTGGATCCCCAAAAAATTTCCAATGCATTCTTCAATAGTCAGTATCAGAAAATAATACATGCTGCAGACGAGCCACTTGGTGTAAAGATTTTATCTAACATTGCTTATTCAAAGTAAATTAGGCCTAAGATATAGTTTTTGGTGTCATGAGACTCAGTGAATGCAAGAAAAATACATCTGATGGACGTATAACAAGAATGGGACACTCGTGTTTTTTTTCCCCTAAATATTACTTGCAAAGCACAAGGACTTGAATTATCAGGATTTTATTTGTTACAAATTATCACAACCACAACTGAAATAGAGCAGAAAGCATTGAGTAAACAGAACTGTAAGATACAAGATTAATCAAAGTGTAAAAGCCTCATTCAGGACTACTACTGGAAAACCAGTGATTGCATACCAGAGAAAACAATTCTATGCAAACACCAAGTGAAAGAGAATAAGCAGCATAATACAACTGACAGGAATTAAAATACCATGTTACACAAGTTTCTGAAGGAAACTGGATTATCACTACTACTTATGAGTTTTGTTTGGTGTTTTGTGTTTAGCTAATACATAAAGTTCCAGAAGAAACACTGATCCTCCATTTAATTTATCCATGTTGTTCATATATCAGGCAATCTATTTCCAAAAACATATTTAAAGTCTAGTCATGAGAATTCACGTGCGCTTCAAGTTGCTGCGTAAGGCTAAGAGTCACTAAAGGAATGTGAAGTTGCATTATTGCTTTGTAACAGGAACTTAAATGAAAATTCTTTATTGAGCTCCAAGTAGAACATTTTGAGTCACTAAACAAATAAGGGTTCATATATACAATTATTTTAAAAAGTATATAACATTATACACTTTAAGGCTTTAATACAAGAAATACAGAAACAGAGTTTTCATACTCCGAAGCCTGTCTCTTTGTTGCCTAGGCACATGGACAAGTACAATGTTCTAAGCAGTCAGTAGTTAACATGGCAGAAGGTCCTGAAAAAGAGAAAAGCAGAGTTTATTTGTACACAGCCTGAGAGTAGTAACTACTAGTTTTCTGAAGACTGTCAGATTACAAGCAGAAGGATTAGGCAATAATGTGTACAATAAATACACACAGACTTAGGGAAACTACTGCAAAGACTGCTGTCATTGAATTCAGTGCAAGTGTGATAATAGGTTCAATAAAGGCAAATAATTGTGTCACTATAATCATATTATTTGACCAATAACAAAGCAACTGACCTGTGCAAGAACATAAAATCCTACTAGAATGAATCAAGCAACATTTATTCGTTCATTTAGTTTTGCCTTAATAAAAGAAAGGCTGCCTTTTCTCCCTCTCACTTTGACTTAGGCCCCTTTTTAGATTACATTTCTCTTTGTTCAAAACTTAACAGATTTCATTTCATGGATTAGTCCAAAATTAGTCCAAAAAAAGAAAAAAAAATGCAACAGCTCAATATAATACTAGTGCATGTTATCTCAGAAAGTGTCAAGAAAAATTTCATACCACAAGTTTGCAGTTTCTACAAATATGCAGAATTTTAGTTTTAAGTGACGTAAACAAATTTTCATAGGAGAAATAAAATCTATCAAAGTGAAGCATGAAAGAAGGAAGACTTACTGTATTTACCATTCTAACTACCGTTCTGCCCTACATATGTATATTTTTTTTCTTAAAAGATTTTTTGAAATTCTCTTCTCATTAGTAGAGCAAATAAAAAAGGACTGAAATGGTCAGCTTTCCTGTAGAGGTGGGACATGTATACCAAATGGGAGCACCACATGGCTGAGGATTATTACATCTCCTGTCAGATGCAGATATGGCACAAGACCAAGGCTGATATTTCTGACTACAGAATGAGTGTGTGCCTTTCGTCATGAGATTAGTTTACAGATGTGACCGGCAATATCCAATCATGTGCCATCACATTACACAATGGTGGCTGCAAATGTCCTCTGAGTGTTTTCACAGGGACACCTGATTATTATTTTTATTTTTCCCTCCAAACAGAACAAAGAAAATTAAGGTTTATAGAACTTGAGGACTGTATAGCAGAGAAACTGAACACGTTCATCCTTCATACTAACAAAGGATAACATCAAAAAACACAACTTGCATAAGCATTCCAGAAGGTCGAATTCACTTCTGATTCACTGGTTCACCTACTCACCAAGCCCAACCACTAGCCATTTTAACTTTAAGCCATACAGTTTCATCGTATATGCAAACGAATACTTAATGATTTACATGAAACATCATTATCTTTCAGCAGATGAAGAGGGGCTAAGAATGAAGGGGACAGATCTTTAGCAGGATCTGCTGTAATACAATAAAGATAAATGGTTTCAAACTAAAAGAGGGGAGATTTAGATTGGATGTAAGGAAGAAGGTCTTTTACAATAAGGGTAGTGAAGCACTGTAACAGATTGCCCAGAAATGTGGTGGATGCTCCACTCAAGGTCAAGCTGGACAGGGCTACAAGCAACCTTATCTAGCTGTAGGTATCCCTGTTCACTACAGGGGAATTGGACTAGATAACCTTCAAGGGTCCCTTCGAACTCAAACAATTTAATGATTATATGGTGTTGAAAGTGTCAATAGAGATTTACACAATTTTACTGTGTGTTTTTTTAAAAAGCTGCTCCGCTTTGCTGCTTCTAGCAGCTACTTTTTCTCTCAGTTATAGAATCTTTGCTCTTCGAACCCATTCAGCAGAAATCTTCTCCAAGCTTTCCTAACCTTTATAAGGTCCTCTACTTCAAATCTTCGCAGTAATCTCAAAATTGTTCTAAAAGCATATTTGTATGTACAAAAAAATCCTTTAGCTTGTGACAGTTGCCTCCTAAATATACTATGCAATACAATGTATAAAATATTTTAAGTATGGAGCTCTAAGTCATATCCTCTACAGGCAATGAGTGCATGGGGTTAGCAGTAAGAATAACTGGTCCAACTAGGAAGCAAAGAGAATATCTGTGCAGAATAGTTCAATTATTTCTTACTTTATGCACTGGATTTATCAGAAACAGCACAGCTAGCTATTCTATAGCTAATGTTTCTCAGTGACTTGCTCTCCATTTGTGCCAAAATTCACTTTGCTTCTTGTGCAGAAATGCTCACCTTTAAATCTTTTTACAAAATGCTTTATTCAGCTTTATAAAACCACTTTAGACAAGCCTGCTGACCAGATCAGGATTTTAAGTTCCCATTTGAATGTCAGTAGCATAAAATTACATTCACTTTCACTCACTTTCTCCTTTGATGAAGTTCTTAATTAGCTGAAACGCTATCAAAGGTAAATGTACCTTTCATTTCCCAGTCTCAGATACATTTATACAATAAGCAAACAGCCAGAGGACAGTGTCTGTCTGCACACCAGTACAGTTTAAGATCCTGTTTAATGACAATTTAAAATCATGCCTTTTCCCAGAGGAATTGAAAATGGCCAGTGATTTTGATTGTATTCTATTTCAGTACCTTTAACCATTATGTAATTAATTACGTATAAAAAATTAAGGACCCGATCAGAAGCTCCATTTTTTATCTAATAACTTCAGAGATGGGCGAAGGTACCTACCAAAGCATCAGAAGATTAAGGTTTTTTGTTTTTGTCTTGGCTGTCCAAGGAGTTGAGTTTCCTGACAAGAGAAAAAAAACATTTTACTAAATCTGAAATATTTTCAAGTAAAAAATAAAGAAAACAATATAAATTGAACTATAATAGAAACTTAATGATTAACAAAGCTTCAGATAACATTTGCAATGTTTAAGTTACTAGAATTTATGGAAAAATAATATATTACAAACTACTGGTTATGAGGTTTTACAGTTGTTTAATAGGGAATAGTTTGTCCACATTTAACTATCTAAGCTAAGGATTTTAGATTACTAACACAAATTAAACGTTTTAAAATGAGAATTTAGGTGTTCTTGAAACCTTTCCTACATTCTAAAATGAAACTTTCTAAGTTGTAGTCTCCCTGTTTTTATTGGTTAAACTAAAATAAATTAGTGAGATTAAAATCTTATTGGATTTATTTACCTTTGCAAATGAAGACCGTTTTAAGGGTTACACATCCTCTGCCTCTGACGAAAGCGACCTCAATTAGTCAAGTCAGAAAGTCTTTAAAAGCTTTGTGTTTATTGCTTCCAGCACGGAGCGAGGTGGTCATTAACGTACCAAAATTCTCATAAAAATTCCAAAGTTGCACTAGTGAAAAAACGCTCAACAAGGTGAAAACTAGTCACATCGTTTTCAGAAAATTCATTAGCTATTTTAACCCATTTTTTACAAAAATATTTTGATCTAATGTGGCACTCAAGCAGATCCATACCATTTGGATACTTTAAACAGCATTTATATCTACTGTGAGTATATGAAGGTACATTTAGGTTTATACCTTGTTTTAAAAAAAAAGTTGTGCCATGTTTAATATAAGCCTTTTATGCTGATTGCTGTTAAATGGATTTCTCCCTGTTTACTACTATTTATGAAGTTTTATTATAAGATAGAGCATAAAATTAATCTCACACACACTGATTTTCTTTCAAAAGTTTATTTAGTATCAAGCAAGGGTAAAACTTTGCTTAACACTACAGAACATTTCAAGACTTGAGTTACAAAATACCACATTATTTGCATTTGTAATTTGCTTCCCTTTTTACGCATGTTTGCAAAGAGAAAAAAACTAGCAAATGGCCGAAAATAAAAACTAAAAACTAAGTTGTTGAAAACCTTTAAAATAAAAGGTTACGCTTATGTTAAAAGAACAGACTAACATATTTAGTAAACCTAGTTTAACACTAGTTAATCAAAGGTTATTTTTTTGATCACCTATTTTTCAAATACAGTTTGGAAATAACAAAGTTCCTTGTTTTACATATCTTTCTGTCCAGGTTGTTCTTTCAACAAAATATTTTAAGCTCAGTCCATCCATTCAGATTTTTAAGCGCTTTGATTTAATAAAAAGGGATTGTTCATAGAAAAAATTACTTTGAACAGTATACAGGACTGGTGGAGATTGGATATTTCACAACATCAGACAGTACAATCAGTATCTGGCATATGGCTGGTCTCTGTAGACTCCTTTTGTCGTCCTTGCCGAAGGTGCCTTGTGTCTCGAGTTGGTCCATTCTTCTTGTCCTACAAGAGGAGAAAACACAGTTAGACCTCTTTCAGTATTTTCCAATGCTGTACTTTTTTCTTAATTGTGAATTCAACGGGAATGCTATTTACTGAAACCAAGGCATACAAATGGAAGTTTAACACCTGGTAAAAAAAAAAGTGGATGGAACAGATCTGAATGAGCTAGCTTAGTCTTTCAGCCAACAACAGCACACAGTGTGACAGTGTGACAAAACTTAAGGTGAAAAGATCCAAGATTCTGGCATTCAGCTAAGCCTCCATAGTGCAAAGGTAAAAAATGCCAGGTACATTAACAGACTAATAATTACACTAGAATGAAATAACTGAAGAATATGAGTTATATGTAAGTAACTCAGAAATAAATTTATTTTGATCAATACAAATTTAGGCTTAATTCATATATGCAATCTAATAGTGAAAAGCCACAACTTCACTGCAAGCACTTGTGGCTTTTAAAAATCTTGAGACAACTGACTTCATTGAACACTCACTTCCTCTAACTGGCAAGGAATATGATGGTAGGTTATAAAATTAAGGAGCAAGATACATCACATGTTGGAATTCTGACAGCAAAATAACTTTGTCAAAAATGTGCTGTAGTTAATGCTTCGTATTTTCATATGCCATTTTCATGGTCATAGATAATAAGAAAAAATAGCAACACATCTTATTAAATGAAAATCACAAGGCAATGTCAGGCATTCATAACAAGAGGAAGATTCAGGACCAAGTGCAGAGTTTAACAAAGCATGACTTAGGTATGCTCTAAAATGTAAGCACAAGTCAGAGTACCACATAATCCCCGAAAAAAAGAAATCCCAAAAGCAACCATACACCTTCTAGACCTGTATTCTGAGAACTGCTCTGTACTAAGCATAAAGGTGTACACTTGAATCCAGTGCTATCCAGAAACTAAATGTGAAATCTAAATGGCTAGATACAGTAATCTGAAATGTTCAAGTCAATAGAACAAAAATATTACAGTCAACAAAGAAAGAACCCACTGTACTTCTTTGAATGATAAAACAACTTCCTCTGATGGCAGATGTGTGCCTCAGCTGACATAGTTAGGAAATCGATAATTTCAAGAGTACAATTTCATCATCTCTTTATAATAGTCTAATTCCAGCTGTTTTATTGAAAAACAAAAAAAGGGGAGGTTACCTGCAGTGCCTAGGCTACATATCTGGGTGTGAACATTTGGACTAATAAGTAAAAGATGCAAGTTCAAATTTCACTGTAAAGCTAGAAGAATTAAAATTTACTTTAGCCATCTGGTAACAGAGTAACATGCATGAAAAGCAACCTCTGGGGCTTATTCATTACAGTGAAAACAAGGATCATATTAAGCAAAAGAATATTGGCCACACAGCAAAGGCAGCTGCCAAAGGTATAAGAAATTAAAAACTATACTAGCTTTTAAGCACTGCTGTAAAGAACAGTTTACATGTAAAAGGCAGTGTTATTTAGTAGTAAGCACAGGTTGAGGGGACTTAACTGTATTTTTGCATTCTTGAAATACTCTTAGAAATATCATACTTTGGCAAAGAATTTACTTTAATGAAAAAATAAAGATTTCACTTACGTATATCTATCTATCAATACCAAATGAAAGTGATGTGGGATAAAGAAATTTCAAATTGGTACCTCTTTTGATGAACTGATTTTTCTCTTAAGCAAAAAGAACCAGATTAAAAAGGTGACATTGTAGAAACTATCATTAGGTATATTTATAGAATCATAGAATGGTTTGGATTGCAAGGGATCTTTACGATCAGCTAGTTCCAATCCCCCTGCTATAGGCAGGGACATCTCTCTTTAGACCAGCTTTATCAAGACAAGGATCTTGGTTGAGGTAATTTTTGTTTCCACAGGAAATGTTTTAAAATATAATTAAAGAAATACTCACGAAATTCTTTTAAGTTCTAAAATCCTGTGACATGCACGACTCAGAATCACAACTCTCATACTGTGCACTAGCAATCCTCAAATGTATGATATTTGAATGATCTAGATTTTAATTTCTCTGATCTCTAGCCAGAGATTTAATATTTATCCCTTAAGCAAAGGTGCCTTTTAACATGCTTTATGCCTCTAATCCATAACAGATTCCTTTAATTAAACCTGTCACTACCACACTTCTACCTCAAAAAATGTGATCTTTACTACTGGCATATGGTTTTTGCTTCATTACACATTGTTTTGTCTTTGGATGAGTAACTCCCTGCCCTCATGTCTATTAGCCACCTAAAGTACTTCCACAACCTTTACCTAATGACTCTGCTTGATTTCACAGGACTGATGCACGACAATGAAATAATGCAAAAAGAGCACAAAAGTTTTAAATGCATTTGGTTCGGCTCTGTGTCAGAGAAGTTCAGCATATTCTTTGCTGGTACTGAGTTCACCACAAGATATGCCGTACTAGAAACATTTACTTTCAGCAGCAAACATCTGTTGAACAAAGGACAAACAAGGCCTTTTTTTCAGTTTAAATCTCACTGAATGAGACATGAAAATGATTATATATTTGCATTTGCAAATATATTTGCAGCACAATTTAGACTGTTCTCTTTTAGTTCGTTTCTTTGATTTCAGATTCACATGAGTACACTAGCTAATAGACCACAGAAGCCTCCTGCAGTGTTCACATGTTCACATGTGGACAGTACAGGAATTCCTAGCAGCTGTTAGCCACTGCAGAACTGAAGTCTGCCTTACGGAAATTCTGCATCTTTGATTATATTATTTTTTCAGACATCTTTACTACTGTAGTCACTCAGCTCAAAGCTACTCACCATATGATTCATATGTTTCTTCACTCAGCCCATGGCCGTAGTCATAGTAATCAGCTCCACTGTACAGGAGGGAAGCAGGAAGGAAAATAAGAAATAAAGCAGTTAGATTTTTTTAAGAAACAGTGCTTACCATTACACTTTCTGACTTCAAAAAGGAGAATCTAGAATGTAGATGTGTCCCAAGCTAAAGAAACTAAGTATTCAAGTGGCAATGCAGTTAAAAGGTCCTCACTGTTCACTAATGAGAAGGAAAACCAAAACACATTTACATCTGTTTAGGTTGATTTTGTCCATCACTGAGACGCTAGCCCACAGTGCAAAATGTTACACGAGAATTTTACACTTATCATTACACCTACAGATGAGAAAGTTGAAAAACTTAACAGTGCCGAAGATTATCAGGTAATGTTCCGGAACTAATTCCTTTGCTATCATTGTCTACTACTACCTAGTGGTTTGAATCTTTGAATTCAAAGAAAAAAAAACCAAAAACCAATAAAGGATAAGTGAGGGTTATACATCTCCTACATGTTTGCAGAGTTCAGCATCTTCAAAACGAGACAGATGTGCACAAATGCAAAGGCTATCACTTGAACAAATAGAAAAGAAATAATAATCAGAATTTCAAAGCTTAAAGAAGGACTCTGCAGTCATTAGTATTCAAAAAGTTGTATGAATACTATAACGATGGACTAGAACAGTCTTCCATTTCATAATGACATTTTCTATTCACAGTAAGATCACTGAATGGAACCTAGAGAACAAGCATGACTAAAAGTGATATTTCCAT